CTCTCCCCTGATGCTTCGGCTAGAACATTTTCTTGCGTAATTCGTACACCCAAGGGCAGAAGGATTTAATCGCCGTCAGGTCCGAAGTCCATACGCCGCCTCAGCTCTGCGGATGTCTCGGGGGTATGGCACATTTGAATCGATTTTTACTCATCTAATTTTTTTTCTTTTTTTTGAATTTCTGTTGGTGGATCGGTTCGAACCCCATCACATCCAGATAACATTTTCTATTTTTTTAAATGCATTAAATGCATAATATTATCAATTTGGCAATATCTTTTAATTAGAAAAAGTCACTATCCAATTTCTTTTGGCTTATATTCAGCATTATTTTCCTGATTTAAAATAAATACCTCCTGGAAACAGTTTATACTGACATGAGCTTTTACTCTACGCGCATGGTTTCGATACTACTCCGGCAACTACAGGTCTCCCCAAGAATGGGCTAGTATTTATCAGTCCCCACGCACAAAATAAATACCCAACCCCCCACTCGTCTTCGTTCGGAGCTATCATGACTAAGAGCGCTGCATTATTTTTAGATAGCCTACCCTCCCACTCCCCCCTCCCCACCACTTTTTACGAGAATGACATCTTAGTTCATTCTCTCGAGTTCCGAAAACAGACTGTGACAGTAAATGTAGCCTCAAGTCCATACCGCCTAAAGCCTYGTATAAGTTTTATTTTTTCACTCCACACGAAAAAAATTAATGCATTTTTCCATGGTCAAATTAATGACGTTATGAACGAAGAGAAATCAAGTTGACTTTAGGTCACGTTACCTTTGGCAGCTTGCCCCAACCCCCTTCCCCTACTAAATCCTGTCATTATCCCCTTATCTAATTCCACTCATCAGAAAAAAATAATTCATTTTTTCATGGCTTAGGAGGAAATGTTTGATGTTACGAATGAAGAGAGATCAACTTTAATTCGCATTACTTTTGGTATCTTGTCCCCCCCCCCCCCCCCCCCCCCTCCTAAATCCTGTCATAATCTCCTTATCTAATAACACCAAATTGTACCCAAATGTATGTCCATCTTTACACCTCCTTTATCCATTCACAACTAGACAACATTTCTTTACTAGTCCTTTTATTCTTAATTTCACTGGGTTACGGCATGGAATTAGATTTTATTGAATGCCACGATGTCTACACTCTGGACCTTTAAAGAAGAGAAAATGTTACAATGGTCAGCGTTAAGTGGATAGAAAGGACATTCAATCTGTGAGGAACATGTTTTTTGTAAGGGATCAAGGATGGCTTAGTGGTAGTGCACTCGCCTCACACCTCTGGGGTCTTGGGTTTGATTCCTGGATTCGACATCACATGTGAGCACCTGATTTGAGGGTTTTTCTCAGCATTTAAACGTAGAGGGGGTTTGATGGCAAGGTCTGGACAAGGTTGAAGCGTTTTCTTATTTTTACTTACAAAGTCTTCGAAGCCTGTGATGCTTTCCTCTAGGAAATCTGTCCCAACTTTGTCATCCTCAACTACACAACCRATTTGAAGTTTCTTGATGCCATATGCGATTGGTATGATTTTTGCTGTAATTAAATCATCAATAGTTTCTCTTGTTATTTATATTTAAAACAGGGATATAGAGCGTCCAAAAGAACCAAATAATACTCCTGTTAAATTCGGGATTGAGGTCCTGATAACATGAAGGTAGGGCGTCAGACCAAAATCAAGGGGTATCCCAAGTAGCCTCTTTGCACGGCGGTCTTCAGTGTTGCGAAGAAGGAAGGGAATGACAGGTCTTGTTTTAATTCTTCACAACACTGTAGACCGCCCCCAGGGGGTGTACTCGGGTGGGTAACGGGGGGGGGGGGGTCCGACGGAGCTTCATATTGTAACCCCCCAAAAGTACTTAAACCTGAAATTTTACACCCAAAAAATACATGGCATCAGTATGTTTCTTTACGGAACTCACTCACGCATTGCTGAAAAAATCAAACAAATAATTTTCTGATACAAAAATCAAACTCGGAGATGTGACGACCCAAAAAAWTACGGGTTTCATTTCGAGACCTAAAAAAATACGTGGCTGGTCTCTTGACCGAAAAAAATACCGGGAACGAAAATTGTCAACCCAAAAAAATACGTCGGACCTCCCCGTCATGTAGGGTTACAGTCATACAGGACTATACAGTGAAGACAGACGGGGCCTACGGTTTTAGTCCTTGTCCGAGAAGACTTAAAGGTCTAACCATTTGCAGGCGTAAATATAAAGGCAGCACCTTCTCCTCAGTTATTTTAAGACCCTTCTTCAGGAGTGTTGGTCCGGCCGAGGCTTGAACTAAGAACTTTTGCACAACAGACTGATGCTCTTACCAACTGAGCTAACCGGGTGGCTGTTAACATTTAACACATGCAACGAAAACCTTCTCTAGCCTTTTTTGAAACAGCTATTAACCACTACACAAAGAAATACCATCCCTAAACCTCGCACTTCATCATCTAACAATTACTGACCTATCACTGAAAAAAATCACWAAAGTGAAATTGGGATAACTAGAGTTTTTACTTACAAGCTCCCCAGAGAAGTCCTTCAGTCTGAATGGATCGAACTTTTGATTCCATTTCTGCCAAATCTGAAGGAAAAGTAGGCTGAAAATAAGTTCCAACAACCACCACATCAATTTTAGACAGAAATTTAGCAGCCATAAAATTGCTTTTTTCATACCATGTGTATGAGAATATATATGAAATATATATTTGTACTGTGGTTGTAATGTATCAAATTGAGCTGATCCTTGCAGTATATGAAGCAACTTATGCAGCTGCAAATTGAAAGACTCAGAAAAAATTATGTCTTGAATGGGATTTGAACCAGTGCCCTGGCGATTCCCGTGTTTTTCATACCAAGTAATTCTGAGTCAGAAATGTAATTACACTGATTAATACAATTAAAGGGTACATGTATTTCTTWTGTACTAACCTGTTTCATCATCCCACTGATGTAGATTAAATTTGGAAAAAAAAAAAAGAATGAAATGAAATAAAAATGAATGAGAATCTGCATGTATAGGGGATTTCAAAGCAGATTCTACTATTTAARCTGTACCACTGTTTTAAATGCACTGATAAAGAAAAGTGTTGCAGCATGTTAATGGGCAAAACTCTACTGTCAATCACATAAATCATTCCATGTACCTTTACTTTGTCTAATAATAATTTGATTGACAGAAGTGTTATAAAATGTTTTCCCCAATACATGACAATGAAAATAGTGGTAAACCACTCCCGGGGGGTTCTCCCATATATGGACTATACAGGGATGATCTGCTGAACAGGGTATAGTTTTTGGAGCTTCTTGTCATAAACAGGGTATGCAATTTCACTCAAGTTCCAAGTTCTTCTTGAGTTTCCTGTCATATTCAGGGATTTTACTTTCATATTGACTGAAACTGGTCATTATGGTAGTCAAAAAAAACAAAACATGAGCTGACATGATAATTGAAACAGGAACTCAGAGCAATTAATTATATCTTTTGTCATAAACAGGGTCTACAAATTTGAGTTTTTTTGTCATAAACAGGGTACCCCTTTCAGAATCCCAGCAGAACACTCCTACCCAAATCCTGCCCCCCGTAATCACTCACCCAAAAATGTTCAATAAAAAAGTATCTATGTTATGGGATTTAAGCATCAAATTCTAAATACGTTATCATTTTAAGGTACTTACAGGCTTGACGTCTAGGACAATGGTAGATTTTGCTATTACTTGGGGCTCTGAAATTTGTAAATGTAGACATTTTAAGAAACTTCTTTCCACAGTACTACAAACAATTATACATGAGTTATGAGTAAATAAATTTCTTGAGGTGTGAGTTTGTAGTGCACTCAGCTGGCTATTAGTCTTGCCACGCAAAGCTCTGCAAGGAATGAATTGTGTGACGACACTAATAGTGGCCGAGTAGGAGATGTGTATGTTCATTACTTACTCTTGGCTTTTTTAGCTTGATAAGCAGCCAGCCTCTCCGCCTTGATTTTTTCTTGTTCCTCATCATCTTCCTATAAAAATTGAAACAAAGAAAATCAAATGTTTACAATAAACAAATGGTATAATATTATTTAAAGGTTGTTGTCACTGATTGAGATAACATTATTTAGTCGTACGTATTAGCTGCTTACTACTACCTTACTCGGCAATGGTAAATGGCTAATTACTATTACTTATTGCTAATATATACCTGATTACAAAACATTTAACTTGTTTAACTGTGACCAACTAGTATAATGATGCATAGTTCTAGAGGATATCCAGCAACATTAATTATAATTTATAATCCTAGACTTCAAAATCTGACAGGCTTTAGAAATTTTTATTTTGTATTAAAAGTACTATCAAAAGCACTAATAGCCTTATCTCAGCCAGGCCCAGAAGTATCCTAAATGATACCAATGTGCCACAGCCTCAACTGCGACAAGTGCTATCGGATTTCATAGCATGCTCTTTTTCCTTCACTCTTCCAAATTTGGGGTGGGTCAGGAAAAATCATTTTGAAGTTCCCCCCAAAATATAAATCATTCTAGCTACTTACATCTGAGCTAGATCCAAACAAATCCACATCATCATCGTCATCACTTTCTTCTTTTTTCTTCTCTTCCTTCACCTATAAGGATTAAAATAAATCTTTATTATATGAGGTCAGTTAACTTCATGATTTCAGATCCATCACATTCACCATTTTCTATACATCACTTCACTGTTCAAACACAAAAGCGCAGCGCAACCGTGACGTCATAAAAATGAAGACAAAGGCGAAATTCAGACAAACAAACTTACAAGTTTACTTTCAGCAGATAATTTTCACAGCCGATCGCAGTTGATCTTAGTTACATGGGTTATTATTGTAACTTTAAGTAAAAATAATAAAATCGGTTCGTATAATCCTCGTAGCGGTTAAACAGAATGCAATGTTTGTCCRAATCTTTAAGCTATTTTAAGAATCAGTGCGCTGCGCTATTAAGCACTCAAGCAAGGCGCCAAGGTAGTTTCAAAGGATTATTCATGTTTGAACCTTGTAGCCTTGTCTGAATGGTTTGTATTTGACCAGTGAACTAATATAGTGGAAAATAGTCAATCTATTCTATTAGGCTTTAGCTGTTGTATCACAGCGTGGGACAATCACAACAGAGCTAGGCTCCAACTAGGTGAAAGCCCAAAGATCAAATTAGAATTTAGTAGTTGATTTTTGAGGAGGGAAGAAAACTGGAGAAAAAACATTGAAGCACAGGAGAGAACCAACAAACAACTCTACTCCTGTATGACATTGAGATTGGTAGGACCGCATTAGCAGTGCACGCCACCTATTCATGACACTCAATTTTTGGTATGCGAACCTAGAGTAGAACTGAACCAGAAGATACTTTCAGCAGCTTCATCCGAAACTAGGCTATAAACAAATGGGCTCACTCTGCTAAATACCATATTAAGCTCAGATTACTGCAAGCGAAACATGCCTTTACTGAAAATACCTACTACTGTAGTCTTGACACTGTGGCTCATCAATACACTGCTACACTCATTTCAAAAGGGAAAACCAATAACCCCACTTACAGTAACAAGATCTCATTGCAATGTAAAACTAACTTACTGGGGCAGCTGGAGCAGGAGCGGCAGCTGGAGCATCAGTTTTACCTGTATAAGAAATAATAATAGTCATTTGTCAACAAAGTTCTTTGAAATTTTATCAATACCATGAAACAACATCTGGGCTGATCAAAGTTAGGGCATGGCTAACTCACAGATTAAATCCTCAAACAACCTCTGGGCTGATCTAAGTCAGGGCATGGCTAACTCACAAGTCAGGGCATGGCTAACTCACAAATAGGACCCTGAAAGTCTAGGAATTTAATCCTAGAGGCAAGTGTATTACCCTCATGCCATCACCACTTTTTAATTCACATTATCTTGGATTTTATGGTTTTGTAAATCACCAACACAGGCAACTTGATTAACACTTACCAGATTCAAGTTTGGATACTCTAAGCTCTAGTTTCTGAATCGCAGCTGTCAAGTCTTCGGTAGCTGTACAGTACATTAAAATATTATTTGTTAGAATATATAAGGGTGAAATCAATGTGGAGCATAGTCGAACACGTTAATACATCTCTTCAAACAACTTTATGACTGAAGAATTAAGTGTATGCAACTCATTAATATTCATGATCAAATGGCCTACTGAATGGCTTACATAATGCATGTCTTACTTTTACGAAGCTCCTTATTTTCTGTCTCTAGTTGAGCCATGCGCTTTTCACTTGCAGAAGTAACAGGAGATGAAGAAGTAGCTGGGGCCTGAAATACAACATGAATGTACAAGTTATGACTCAAATAATTTAAAGGAATCATGACAGGGAAATGGAAAATTTGTGGCAATTTAATTGTCAAAGGATGTTGACATGTGAAGAAAGGAATGCAGGAGAAGAGTTTGATATTTGTCTGCAGATTTAGACATTTGGAAGTGTGACTGTGGCATGTTTTTCTGGTGTGAAAACCCAGTTCAGTGAAATCTGTTAAGCGCATGAAAAGAAGGAGCTGTGCTCCAAAAACCTTAACATTAACTTAACGTTAACATTTTGCTGGCTTATAAAGAGAAAATAGATAATATTTCTAAAGCATCAAAAGTGAAACCTCAAATGGGAAATTGATAAAATTTGGTTATTACAAAAGGCCAAGACATTAAATTTTATGAAAATCAGTGAGTATTATCTAAGGTAATAATTACAAGTATTAATAGTTAATTTTAGCATAATTATCATTGAAGAAAGTGCTTGAAATTTAAAAAAATTAAGTTAGCATTTCATGAAACAGAAGCAAAAATTAAAAACAAAAATTTTAAAGAAAATTAAATACTGTTTTTGGTTTTATTAATTCATTAATTTATTACAAGATGAAAATCTAAATTCAGTCTAAAATATACAGATATATTATGTAGAAAAAATTCTAGTTTATTCAATGCATGCTTGTTCTGGAGTGTAAAATACTGTGCTTACCGCACTCAAAGTTTGTTGTATTTTTCTACGAGCTTCTGCAATCTCCTTGGCAGAGGAGGAACAAGAGCCCTGAAGGAAGAAGAGCAGTTATGTTTTCTTGGAAAAAATTTTAACAAGAATAAGGTCAATAATATTATTTGAAGTAGTAGAGATGTGTTAATAGGCTTTTAGGAATCTGAGTTTACTATGATTATCATTATTACTCTGAAATGAGAGGAAGTTGAAGCAAGAAAAGGAAATATTTAAGGCTATTTTTTATCCCAATGTGCAAAAAGGGAAGCTTATAGCTGGTGTTATGATTATGAAGAGAGGGAAGGTGACATCCACAACTGGGATTTAACTTGTAACAGCATTACATTTATAGCTGACAAATCATTGATAACACTCCAAAAATAGATAATTAGCACACAATATTGACCTGTAATAAATTGTGCCAAAAAACTACTGCCTTATCATGAGTCATCATCATCWTCACAACCACTACAATCATCACCACCCTTATCATCATTATTCTTGGATGACTCAAAATCCTTTGAGATATAATAACAATGAAACAGTCACCATGTTGGTTAATCTAATGAGAGAAGCTAATGAGGAATGCTTTATTATCATCAACCAACATGGYGGCTATGACATAACCCCTAGGATCCTCAGTCATATTGGACATCTGATCATCAACATGGTCATCATCGGCATCATAATCATCAAAGTTTTTTTGACCAGTAGGACAGTCATAAAAAATTAATAATAATTTTAGAAAAGGTGGTTAAAATATCTCTCTAGTCTCCTTTACCCTGAACAAAAAATATCTTATAACTAATCTAAGCTTGGCAATATGGTAAATTTCCCATAAGTTTTTAATTTTGTATTTATATATCATCTACTACCCTTTTAAACAGATATTGCCCCCTTTCTTCAAACCCCCACCCCTGACTCACCGAAAAAAATCTGCACTTTAAATACCAATATATAAATACAAATATTTCTTTACCATTAATTTCATTCATTCATTTATTTTTTCATTGTTTCTTTCATTTTTTCTTTGACTCTTATGAAAAGGTAAATTATAAAAACTTCTGATTTTYATTCAAGTTCACAATCTATACTAGTGTAAGTTCCAGGTTGTGTGGGAAAATGATGTTAGATATATAATTAGGTATTTACGGCAGCTGTAATTATCCTACGAAGTATCTATGTTTCGTAAAAGAGTTCAAATAGTGTAGAAAGAAGGAAGAGATATTCAATATTCATTTTCTTTACCTGTGTTTTTGGGGACGAAACAGGAGCAGAGGTTGGTGTTGATGGTGAAGCAGAAGAAGGGCCGTTCAAGTGAGCTTGAAATAAAAGCTCTTCAGCTGTATCATACTTGTCCTTATCAAACCAGATAGTCTCATACATCATTGCTGAACTCATTTTGACGGTCAAAAGAGAAGAAAATGCTCTATCAGATGGTGGGATGAGCGGAAAAAAATCAAGAACTTTTCTCTTCGTTCAAAAATTTTGAAAGAAAGTTTTCGATATTCACGTGGAATATAAGCATTTTACTACCCATATAACGAGATTTCTGATTGGATAGCGGAAAAATTGGACCAATCAGAAGGGTTGTATTAAAATAGGGAGCGGTGGCTAAGTTCTGTCTGTATCCAAGAAAAACGAAAGAGAAACCAAGAAACCGGTGTATCTTACGMTTTTCTTGCGTCTTCAAGGTAAGTTTGAACCTCTTTTTTTACTAATGATTGACGACCTGTGGACTAAAATGAAATGCCACGACATAGCAGTTTGACTTAAGCTTCTTATAATGCTATTTTATGCCGTACAACTCAAGTTTTTAGCCAATCGTAAAGATGAATCAGACGTACAAGCTTTAAACAGGTCCTCGTGAAAGTTTTGTACACCATGTACAGAGTATATGAAAAAAATATTTCCCTGTACAAACTTTTAAAATGTATTTGTAATAGAGTTTATTTTATTTTGCCAACATTGCAGCGAAATCGTACTAGCTTGAGCCTTTTTTTAAAAACGTCAAATAATGACTAATTTGAAGCTTACTACTACCATACCCAAAATCTAATTTTGCTCAATTTTCCGTGAATTTCAAAAAAAYCTGATAACAGAAATATTGATAGATATACAACTGAGCGAAGGAATATTTATATTTCACTTTGTATGCTACTGTAAAAGGCCCAGAAATAAGTTTAGGATATGGAAACAATGTATTTCCACATAGCTAATTTTTTCTTCATTGACGAGATAGTTCTCTGATATATGTATAAATGATGGCATTGCAATAACGTCTTTTATAATTTTCTTTTAAGATGGCAGCAGAAGGTGGTACATCAGCGATGTTTGGCACGACTGCATCTGGTATCCCAGTATCACACTTAGATTATAGTTATGTTRGAAAGTGTACGAATGGAACTGAACTAGAAAAGATACTCAAGGTTTTGAGGTTAATAATAAGTCTCATTTAATTATAATTGTTAATTGATTAATATTTATTGATAAGTCATGTCTTCCTGCATAAAAACAGGATATAGACTGGAGCTTGTCCTGTCTAATTCCTTAGACCACTTCCTTCTTTGGGTAGGAGGGTGGRGGGATGCCCTTGCTCAAGATATAACAGGGCTAGCAGTATTTTCTAGTGGAATTCTCCTTTTAATATCAGTTATCCCGATATATGTTTGTACAAATGGGAAGAAATATTGGGGTTATAAGAGAAGGGTAAAAAGAACAATAGAGGAGAATAAGCTGGCTGTCCCTTGTTATCATTTATTCAACCTTTCCCATTCATTTAGAATGAACCTCTTACTAAAGTGAAATGAATGTGAGGAGTATTTTTTTAAACTTTTTTAGGATATTTTTACATTATTACTTATGTATGTTGTACATTTAGGTCTGGAGAAGAGGGTTCCTATCCTGAGTTAACAGAATTCACTGAAAAAAGGCTCGCAACTATCCACCCTAAAAGGTAATTCTTGAGAAAAGAATAATGACAGTGATGTGATGTTGACAATAATAACAGCAATGCATATGCATGGATGGTAACCTTGACCTGTTCACTAATACAGCACAGCTTTCTAGCTGTTCACATTTACTTCAGTGACTCACAGTCTGATAACTTGTTCAATTATTTATGTTCACAGCAAAGCACTGYGCAAAGAAATACCAATACAGTCTTACAATGATCTGGATACATCAGAAAGGGAAGAAGTATCTGAAGAATTAGGGGTATAGGAGCATAAAATTGTACTATGATATCATTAGTAAAAATACACAGGTGATTATTGAAAATCTCGCGTGCYGATTGGTTGAGAGACTCACACTATCACAYGATAGTCACCTACAGCAATAATCCAAAATGGCAACCAGCCGCATGTTGCTGTTACCGGGAAAAATGTTTTTATCTTCTTTTTTTTCTTTTTTTTGAAAGAATCACCTGYGTATTYATRATAAATAATTATTGGCTGAAAGCTAAGTGAATATCGGAGAATATTTACCTCGCTGCTTGAAGACTCGCGTCTCAGTAAATATTCCCGGTTTTTCACTTCATCTTCGGCCAATAATTGTTAGTTATGCATCAGTACCCCTTACCTGCCATCACCCCCACTTGAGAGGTTTACCAGACCCAGTGAATTTGACTGAGTAATTTCAAAATTTCTACCTGTTAGAAGTCCTAGATGTCAGATCCCTCAGATAACTATGTTCCCCCACCCACTCCACCCCTGTACATTGGTAGTTATATATTTTTGAATGTCTATTAAAATGTTTTCAAGGACTGGTTCTCAGAAATAAGCCACAAAGATAACTTGTTGAAGAAAGGCAGTAATAATCCTTCAAACGGGGAYTTTCTTCCACCAATACGATCAGCAAGAACAGTTGGTTCCACTACGTCTGGCAGTGCACAGGTTTGTACAGTCAAAACCTCACTTATAGTTGGTCTGCCTGTGGTGGATTATTCCACAGGAATCCCAATAATACAATTTACAGCTTAACAAATACGGTAGACCTTATTCATGGAGAGTCATCATTTCTTTGTTTAACGGTTGTGCATCATGAGAAGACACATGAATATGGATACAACTGAAGCAAATCTTATTATTAAGAGAATAAAGCTACTTAGTCTGAAATAGGAAAATATTGTACCACARTGAATAAAGGCTGTTCACAGACTGAATCCTAAGCTGTTCTTCCAGTGTCATGCTAAACCCCAGAATCACAGTAAAGCAAGCTTGCCAATAGACGACTTGCACCAACAGGTCTCATGACTCTATCTCCCTTAAAAAAAGCAGTTTTGTCAAAATAAAAAACACTAAATGAAAAGAGCATCTCAGCATTAGTAGGGAGGCAGAGTTTCAGCTCATAATTAGCAAAACAGGAGAATTAAATGGCATTAGATATGAAATTGAATGTTTTATAAGGATTTGTATGGGAAAATGCACTGGGTCGCAAAAGCTTACCAGTCAACACTTTTCCATACAAATCCTTGTAAAATATTTGATTTTATATTTAATATCATTGAATTCCTCTATAGTTAACATTTTGAGCTGAAACTCCACCCTCTTGCTAAATTTGAGTTGCTCTTTTCATTTCTGGAGTTCATTTTGACTCATTTGCTYGTTTTAAGGGGGATGGGGTGACATGACCTGTTAGTGCAAGTTGTCTATTGCTCAATAAAAAGATTGAACAAAGACTAATGAATTATTAATCTTTTAGGTGTCAAATGGAAATGGAAGAGAAAGCAAGAAGGGTTCTGTTGCACCAAGAGGATACCAAGACTGGGATAAGTACGTCCCTATGTAAAACATTCAATCACCATTGATTAATTTCAAATTAAAAGACATAAAGCAGGGCTTTCAAYAATATTTGAAGTAGATGGATGAAACTCAAAAGTACAMGTCTGTTTCCACAAATTTTACTTCTTATTTATTAAGACTGATTCRCAAAATAGCCGGCGGTATGAAGGTAAGTACCCGGYGATAAACCGCCGGTAGCCGCCTTCTATTGAAACCCCTGCATAAAGTAATTTTCATATGAGACTAGAAAACATTTGGCAACAAATAATCATTAATGCCATTTTCTTTACCAAGGTTTAATCCTGATGAGGAATTAAAGGCTATGGAAGAGAAAGAAGAAAAAGAATTGAAAAATAAAAAGGAGAAAGCTAAAATGAATTCCAAAGAGGCAGAAATACCTGATAAAATTGAAACGGCTGGTATGTATGAGTGTCTGGCATCTTCTTGTACAAATGCAATGTTAATATTAACAATATCACTTAATTTAAAGTATAGTTTTATTTATTCTGTTTATCCATTTATCCATTCATCCTATCAATCCACCCTACTCATCTCATTCTTTTATCTCAATCCAACTCTTCTGTCTATCTATCCTATCTATCCCTTCATCTTCCTATCTATCCCATCCCTCTATCTATCCATCCACCCATCCATCCACCCATCCATCCACCCATTCACCCATTCATCCACTTACTCACCCACCCACCCATTACACCTAGTTAGCTCAGTAAATTGGGCACTGACATAATGTAGGAGGTAAGGGGGTTGACTAACCCTAGCTGGAAGAGTAGGCCACACTAGCATCGGAATACTATTCAATCCACTATAATTTGCCTACTGATTGAGTGGCCAACCAAAGTATGTCATACCTTCTCAGCTTAACCAACACTCACGATTTCAACTTTTGCATGGTTATATTTTCTGCACTTCCTCATAACATGTACTATGCGAAAACTGTTTTAGTGCCTTTTTTGATGCCACATTCATCTAATTAATGATTGATACTAAAATTATACTTGTCGTTGTCGTTGTTGTCGTGACAGGCAAAACAGATGAAGAGCTGAAGTCGCTGGCAGAGCACGAGAAGAACAAGGGTAATGAGGCATTCCACAGTGGRGATTATAAAGAATCCCTTGTGTATTACACAAGAAGCATTGAATACAAGTCTTCAGCCGCTGCGTACAACAATAGAGCTTTTGCAGAATTAAAGCTAGAGAAATATGATGAAGCTATTCTAGACTGCAATGTTGTTATTAGTTTAGAAGCAAATAATCTCAAAGGTAAGTATTAATTATAATAGACCTACGAGTGGTGATAACTAGTAGAGTACTAGCRTGGACTGCGTCAGTGTTTYTGAATAAAACAGCAGGAACTTGTSGATAAATTGAATCATCATAAAAAGCTTTGTTAAACTGACGTTTCKGATGTTAGTCCTTCGTTGGAATGAGTAGACCTAATAATAGACCTGATTGATCTTGGTGCAATGCTTACATAGATTTCAGACCACATGTCATGGGTAGCATGGAGTCATATAGCATGGGAGTCATATGGAGTCATAGGCTGCTAATGCCTCGTCTTTCACCACTGTGAGTCCAAAGGTTCGAGTCACTGGTTGRAGCCCTGCAGACACCATATGTAAATTGAGTTTATTTGATGTGTTGYTCTCTCCTATGCTACAAGGGTTTTTCCTGGTTCTCCTGTTTCTTCCCTCTGTAACAATCAACATGTGAGTTGATCAGCCTTGTGTGTGCATAGAACATTGAACATATATAGTGGTAGTGTGTGTAAGTGAAAAGTGTCCCCAATTAGTGYGAAAGCACTTGAACAACTAGAACAACTAGACACTTAAATAAAGAGATTTATTTGATTTTGATTTTTTCCCTTGTGAATAAGATTCTTAGTTTGAGTTKYATCTGATATTCATGCATCTTCCCATGTGCAACCCTTAAACAAAGAAATGATACTCTAGGGAATGACAYRTGGYCTGGAATCTTGATTTGYATGTTATRTTTATGTATGTACYTGCTCAGATGTGGCRATTTCTTCTTTATAGCATTTTTGAGGCGTGCCATTGCATATAAGGGCAAGGGAGATTTTGGCAGTGCAAGACAAGACTTRAACAAAGTGCTGGATATTGAGCCTAACAATAAGAGAGCCAAGGTAAAGATCATTAAAGAAATAAGAAAAGGAATGCCAGTTCCCAATCATGAGCCAATCTTTGATGCTATTTTTAGAATCATTGGTGCTATTTTTAGAATCATTCATTGGATGGTTTGTTTTTCTGCACACGCATACTGCATGTGCTCTTCAATGTTTGCTAATGCTTTCTTGTGTTTTTCAAGCCAACATGAGCAAACAACRTAGCGGGCAAGAGGGAGCACAGTATAGGAGTGCAGAAAAACAAATGATGGCAAAAGTGATTATAAAAATAGTATCAAATGGTGCCTATGATGGTTACAAGCAKGAATACCAGAGATTCCTTCTTTTTYCTCAAATTCCCTTATTTCCCAATAATAAGAACAGTCTTGTACTACTGTCATTGGGTTGATAGATACACTTATAAGAAACTGCCCACA